TAGGGTTCAAGCCATTACAGTGCAATCCCAGCTTGGATGAAGTAATGTTCCTCGAGAAGTCATTATGTCAGTCTCAGAATACCTAATTTTTTTTCCCCCACATATCCTCCATAACTTGTTTATTCGCTGTCTCTCACTCACCATTTCAAAGGGCGAATGAGAAGACATTCTGTGTTGTTTTACTGCATCGGAGGGATTGTTCAGTGCAAAGTGCCGTGTTTCCAGTTAGAGTGCACTGCTTTGTAATCTCTCAGCTGACACGATGTATCTCTGTACACCCAGCTGTCTCTCACTTTCCCTCTCCTCCTCTCTTCCCACCCTCAAATGGATCCTGTCTACCTGATCCCAGAATTTGAGGCTCTGGATGAATTAGCATTGGTGGCAATTAGATTTCCAAAAGCTACTGCCCAGCCTTATGACTTGGTAAAGGGTTTGTGGGGGGAACTGTTTGGCTTCAACAACTCAACTACCCAGGTAGTGATTTATTTCTAAAGACAGGGGTACAACTAGCCAGTCATCTCTTGAGTAGACAGGAAACCTAATGATTTACTTTAAAATGTTCTTGGAGCTACGGAAAAACAGATTTTACTTTGTATGCCCATTGTACGATGAGTAAGCAGAACAGAGACCTGATAAATAGGACCAGGTAACAAATCTGTGGAAGCGCTGGTGGGCGGTGGGTGCAGGGAAAGCTGGATTTGTGAAGCTTCATTTAAGGATTTTTTGCTGCGTTCGCCCAAGGGTCATAGAAAGTGGTGTGGAGAGAGCAGTAGCCTGACAGGTCCACTTCTATCATAAAATCTGATGGGGTTATTGGACTGGTTGCTCTTAACTGTTCGTCAGTGCTCTCATGCTAGTAATCTGATGACCAGCTGGTCTGTCGGATGCAGCCAAGACTAGTGAGAAGCTGGGGAGATGAAGGGAACAGGGATATATCCTCCGGTAGCTTTTTCCCACATACATGCATGAGTAGATCTTACCAAATGTCATGTGGAATGCAGTGTCTTATTTCAGGATATTACTTAACAAATGTTATGTTTTATATCTAGATAAGTCAACTATACTATATGTACTTGTGCTTCAGTTTGGCCTTGAGCATAATTAATGTAAAATACTAGGATTTATCTGTTTGTTTATTCTTTTATAAAGGTGGCACCTTTCCTTTATTGTATTGAGAATAAGTACAATTATGAGCTATACAAAATACCAAGGATTTGCCCCCTTTGGGATATGCATGTTTAAAGATAGATCATCTGAACTAAATAACTCTGCTTTCTTGAAAGTGAATATACAGCCACAGGAAAAAGAGGACCTATCAGAGAAGAGACTCAAGCAGAGTTTATGGCATTTAGCTTAGACAGGAGGAATGATTTCTTTACCCCGAGTGTCAGTAACCATCCAGTTTGGCTGTAGAAACAATCCAGGGATTCAGTTTTCTAAGACTTTGTAAAGGGAGCAGATTCTGAGTGTCAGGAGGGTGTGAGTGTGACCCTGCCTGCAGGCAGGGAGATTTATTTCTTGCTAATCTCAGAGCCTGAGTCTAAGGCAGAGCCGGAGGCAGAAGGTGAGTCAAAGGCGTTCTGGTTTCCAGAAAGCGCAAAGGTGCGTTTTATTCCGTGCCTCTCCCCTTGCTTTGCTAGGGAAGTTGATACTAACCCACAGATGTAAAACAAAAATAAAAAACAAAATCCAGAAATATCTTAGGTCCTACAGAGAAATTTCTATCTCATGTATGTGCATATGCATACATATGTGTACATATACATGTATGAGTATGTATGAATTCATACCACTCTATCTTTTTTTAAATTGGAAATTACTTTTCAACTCGGAATGTATAGGAGACACATGAGACGTGTGTTTTGTGTGCGTGGCTACATTTAAAAGCATTTCTTTGCTTCCTGTGCCCTTCTCAGCCATATGGGTACCTTCTGGAGGTTTCCATGGGAAATGATTTCTATTTAGAGATTTGATCTAGTGATTCATCAGATGTATTAAATGACAGGTGCAAGCAGCTGTGCATTTGAATAACTTACAAGGTTGAAATGGCTACTTTCTAGTTTAAATACTTTAAACTCTACACTCGCATGTAGATTGAGGAATGATGAACTTGCTACTTTATAAACCTAATTAGAAACAAAGTCCTTTCCCTCAAGCCTTTTCCCCCTTGTGCTATCAACACTTACTAGAACTAAACATAGAGGATCTTCCTTATTTCTCAAGAGATGGGGACCAGGGACACGTAAATGTGTCTTTGAAAAAGCAAGTGGGAAACCAAAAGTTTTTTTAAAATCTAAATCTTATGTAAAGTTGAAATACTTGAAAACCAAATATTAAAAATTTACATACCCAGATTATGATTTCTGTCTCAAGTGGCTTTATTAAGTAATGATATATAGCTTAAGGCAAATGATCCTATCAGAACGAAGCTGTGCCTAGAGCTCGGAGTGGTTAATGTAAATTCAAGTTTAGAAGACTGGAGAGGGAAATGGTTAGATTTGTTTCCTGGAATATAACTTGAAATTGCGTGCCAACGATCGGGTGTTCTGCTGTCTTTGGCCCTCTGGGAGTTACCACTGCAAACAGAGCTCATCCTTGTCCAGAGTCATAACTAACAACTTTAAGAAGTGGACAGTAGAAAGGGGCATGTCGGGAGAAGTGGTCTAGTGTGAAAATATGACTCATGAGAACTCCAGTCAGCAAGGTGGGATTTGTGCAACCCTTGGAGAATGTCATGGTTGGAGAATTTGGGTGTCGCCTCAAAATACAGATGTTCTTCCATTTAGGATGGGGCTGTGTTCCAGTAACCCATTGTAGGTCGAAAATACCGTGAGTCAAAAATGCATTTACCAACCCTGTTAAACCTACTGTGAAGTTGAAAAATCCTAAGGCAAACATTGTAAGTTGGGAACAGTCTGTAATAAAGAAGTTACCAAATCCAATCCCATTGCTTTCTATCTCTTCTTAACAGTCTGATAATTCTAAAGTAAATGATTTAAAGGATTTGGACATCCTTTCAAAGGTCTTTTGTCTTTCTCTTGTGTGTATCTAGTTGCTTTAGAGAAATAACTTGAGAAGAGGCATTTTTCTAATGTTTGGAGAAGACGTCATCAAAAACTGTCCTAATTAAGACTCTCCAGAACAGAACAGACCTGGGGGCTGATCTGTGGTGATTTCCAGGAGCAGTTCTCAGGCCATCAGGCTTTGGATAAAGAGAAGAGAGGAGGCAGAGATAGTGGGTGATGGAGTGAGAGAGAGACCTTGCAGAAATGTGAGGAAAGAGAGCAGAAGAGCTACTAAGGAGACAGTGGCCACTTGACTGTGGTGTGGCCTCCTGGACGCTTGTTTATGTATGTAGTAAGTACGTGTGAGCTGATTGCTTGACTTAAACCGAGACCATCTGCTTTTTTACTGGAAGTGACTTTTGGATCAAAAGCTCCGTGTCTTAAAAGGATGGTCATTAAGACTTGTTAGATACCATCGTCTAAGACCCCTCAGACTCCAGAGGGAAACATTAGCTCACAAAAGAGAGTAAGACATGACTGAGCTTTCTGGAGTTTATCTGTCATTCCTCGGCTCCCTCTACCAAGGTTCTCTGTTACTTAAAATGGAAAGGACAGGGCAGAGGCTTTGGCCTAAGGTCTAATCCAGCTGGGCAAGTCACAGGGTTCTAAGACCCAATGCTTCGCTGTCTGTTTCACCCCTTGCGTACTTGGTTTCACTAGTTTCTGATGCTTCTGTAAGACCAAAGTCAAGATTCTTCAAGCAGCCTGCATCCATGTTTCCCTCACAAAGTAATTATAAACTTGACTAGGCTTAGATCATGAGCTATGCTTACTGAAAAATTTGGGCTTTCAGGTTGAAAGGGATGTGATTCCATTACTTGGTTTTCATTATTTCTTATTTGCCCTGTCTAGAGAGACATGAGGCCAATTGTGTATATAACTCTCTCCTGGGCCAGTGTTACCACTTCATGTAACAGTAATACCTATTATTTCCACAAATGCAATCTTAGATTTTTTTTTTCTTTTTCTTTTCTTCTTGTTTTTATTTTTATTTTTTATTTTTTGAGACAGAGTCTCAGTGTGTTGCCCAGGCTGGAGTGCAGTGGTGCTATCTCAGCTCACTGCAACCTCTGCCTCCTGGGCTCAAGCGATTCTCGTGCCTCAGCCTCCGAAGTAGCTGGGATTACAGGCATGTGCTACTGTGCCTGGCTAATTTTGTGTTTTTAGTAGAGATGGGGTTTCACCATGTTGGCCAGGCTGGTCTCAAACTCCCGGCCTCAAGTGATCCACCCAATTCATCCTCCCAAATTTCTGGGATTACAGGCATTAGCCACCATTCCCAGCTATATCCTAGATGACTAACAACAGAGGCACTTACAAGAAAGATTTGTCACAGGTCTGTGAGTAAACATGAACTTAGTTTTGGTTGTAGCCCCGAGGCTCTTGGCGTGTGCACTAGCTATATATCATTTTGTTAGTAAAGAGCCCAGAGGACTGAGTGAGGGTTGCTGATGTTTTGAGTCTGACACATGTGCCCTGATCACTTTTAATAGTGGAGACCATGGACTTGACATCATGAAAGAATGAAAAGCGCTCAGCATAATACCTCCTCCTGTTCTTACTCTCCTTTTTTTGTGTGGGAGAATCTGAGAAATGGCACCACTATTCCTCGTACTCATATCAAAGTAATGGAACCTTGAGCAGCCACTGGAAGAGAGAATGCAGGCAGCCGGAAAGTGAGAGGCAAACCACTGGGGAGGCCCACTGAAGCCAGGCCAGGGAGAGCAAGGATGTTTGTGACACTCGCTTTGCAATCCAGGTTTTACCGTGTTTACTCTCAACATGACCTTCTAGGGTCACTCCTCCCTTCAGCTTGTTGGGTGAGACTCTCCAAATCTCAGTATCAGGCTTGTTTATATTTTGGCTTTTGCTGCATCCACCCCTCGCTGATGGACCACAGCTTGCATAATTGTTGTTTATCACACCAATGTCCCTTCGGTCCCCTGGCTGTGGTTCTTCCCCATACCTTTCCTGAAGGTCAGGTGAGATCCCTCCTTGGTTTCTGACATTTGCTCTCCTCCACTCATCTAGCCATCCACCACCCTCCTGCCTTGTCTTTCGCAAGCCTGGAAACACTAACCTGGTGCACATAAGTCCATTTCTGTCCCTGACCCCCAAACATCGCACAGAGGACCTGGAGGAGGTTCCCGCAGACCTCCTGCCTGAGCGATGCACAGGCATTTGCCTCTCTCTCTGGCTACCTATGTGCTGGCTCTTCCGGTGGCCCCTCAGCATGACGGTCCCTCAAGGCTCCATTCCCTCCTGCCTCCGGATTCTCCCATTCTGAATTTTGTTGAGCCTCTGGCTTTGGGTCTGCTGGTGTACTTCCTCCAGGTCCAGGCAAGTCACCTTAAGTGTCTTATTTACAACTCAAACCAGGAATGACCCTCCCTACCCGACTTCCCCATTTCACTGGGGAACTCTGTTTACCATTGCTGTCTCAAGCATTGGCTATCTGTGGAAGCTTCTGCTCACCTTTATTTTTGCAGGTATCTCTTCTCTTTACAGTACTGCTGTTTTCTACCATAAATGATCACAATGCCAATTTTAACATAGAAAAAGATTGTTCAGGGTATATTTAAATTGCTTTGAAATACTAAAAATTATCTATAGCTTGTAGGCGTTTTTACAAAATTTTAAATTGTAATGTGTTTATTTTAAACTGAAGATTTTTATGAGCAGATTCTACTGCCCCTTTGATTCATTTCTATCACTGTTGAAATTTTTGTCCCCCAAAAATCTTCAGGTTCCACATCATCCTTTTCAGGATGATTTTTTGTTTTGTTTTGTTTTTTAATTGCAATAGGGTCTTGCTAGCTTGCCTGGACTGGTCTTGAACTCCTGGGCTCAAGTGATCCTTCCATCTTGGCCTCCCAAAGCACTGTGATTACAGGCATGAGCCACTGCACCTGGCCTGAAGATGACTGTTAATGTCCTAAAGTCCTTTGCCCTGGGCACCCCTGTGCCTTGCTCCAGGGATACTTGTCTTCCTCTCTATCCCTTCCATTCCTCTAGGGAACTACATGTGTGAAAAAGCATATCTCTACAACCCCCTGAGCCCATCTCATTATGTAACCACTTTTAAAGCATCTTCAGTCACTAGAAACAATAACAGCATTTAGTCTAGCCTTACGGATGCCTGCTTCTCAAGCCCTACAAATGGTGCTGCACTCTAGTTATCACTTCCACATTAGTTAACGTCGTCGTCTTCATATCTGAGTCACTGTTGCCACTCTCAGATTCTAATTCCCTAGAGAAGCAGTTCTAAGTCAAGGGTGATTAAAGATCTTTTCGTACTTATTAAACAGATTCTCAGATCTCTTTCTTAGAGATCAGGATTTTGTAGGCCTGGAGGGGAGTCTGTGAGACTGCATGTTTGACAAGCCCCTAAATGATAGTGACATAGGCGCTTTCGTGACCTGCTGGGGAGTGGGGGTGGGAAGCCAGGGCAGTCACTTATCAAGGATTGTGATAATGTGCCCCCTTAGGGGCCCCACACAGAGAGGGGAGATCTGGGAGTGAGGATTAGAATCAGGTTGCCAGATTTAATAAATAAAAATAGAGGGTGACCACTCAAGTTTGAATTTCAGATAAACTATGTGTCTATATCTCTCTCCATATATATCTATATGTATCTCTATAGATATATATATGTGTGTGTGTGTGTGTGTATGTTTTTGTTTTTTCTTTTGTTTTTTTGAGATAGAGTCTCGCTCTGTCACCCAGGCTGGAGTGCAGTGGCACGATCTTGGCTCACTGCAGCCTCCACTTCCTGGGTTCAAGCGATTCCCCTGCCTCAGTCTCCTGAGTAGCTGGAATTACAGGTGTGTGTCACCACACCTGGCTAATTTTTGTATTTTTAATAGAGGTGGGGTTTCACGATGTTGGCCAGGCTGGTCTCAAACTCTGGACCTCAGGTGATCCACCCATCTTGGCCTCCCAAAGTGCTGGGATTGTAGGCGTGAGCCACCATGTCTGACCTCAGATAAACAATAGTATTTTAATATAAGAGTGTCCCACGTAGCATTTGGGACATACTTATATTTACAAAAAATGTTCTTTGCTTATCTAAAATTCAAATGTAACCAGGCATCTTTTATTTGGCAGTCCTACAATAAAATGCAGTTGTGATGGACTTTTCTAACCATTGCTCCCGAGTAGTGCTGTGTAGTGTGGTTCACATACCCATCTCAGAAGTCTCATGAAGGCAGAGGCTTTTGGATATTAAAGAATGTAACAGACTTTTAGAGAGTGCAAACCCAAGGCACTTGGACTTCGAATTTTATCTGACTAGCACTGACATGCTCAGACTTTTGGATTGGAAAGCGTTTGTGGTTACTGTATGTATGTCCCAAATTCTTCCCATTTAGATTAAAAGATCCAAAGAAATACCTCTGTTAGGTAGGCTTGAGTCTAGAGAATTTGGAATGATTATACATTTACTGACGAGAATTTGGAATGATTATACATTTACTGACAATAAGGATTATAAAAGAAGTCCTCTGTGCCCAATGCTTACATGCAAGTAGGGAGGGTAAAGCCACCTGCACACAATGCTACCTTCCAGGGTATTTTAAACAACTGTGCATGTTGGGGTACTAGAAACATAATGGGCTTTGGAGTACAGCACACCTGGGTTGGAATTCTGGTTCTACCACTTTCGGTGCAACCTTGGGCCAGGTACTTACCCTTTCAGTGCAAGCAGTGTTTTCATTCATAAAATGGAGGTGATGCCTACCATGAAGTGTTGCTAGGGAAATTAACTGATCTGTGCTATTAAAGCATCGTTGTCATTGGTACTTGGGGTTACCTAATCTAAATGCCAGAGGAGTGATTTCACAAGGGAGGCAAGACCCTTTCTTTTTAGGCAGGTGGAGTTAGCAAAGTATGTTTTGTATGTGGAAAGTCTACTTTTGAATTATCTTGGTTACTGCCTTCCTACTAATGATTTTCTCTCTGCCTGATCTAGGATTAACACAGGTTCCTCAGATCCAGAAGACTGAAATTTCTTTTCGTCCTAATGATCCCAAGAGCTATGAGGCATATGTGCTGAACATAGTTAGGTTCCTGGAAAAGTACAAAGATTCAGCCCAGAGGGATGACATGATTTTTGAAGACTGTGGTGGTAAGTAGACTCATTGTAGATGTTTGTGGCTAGTTTTCTTTCTCTTTAATTCTTATTTCCCACTTCTGTTTTTTGTTTAATGATCAAGAGATAATCCTGAAATAATGAAAGATTGAACTCTGGCCATACTTAGACACTTTTTTAAAAAACAGACACAGTGAAAAACAGTATAGCCTCAAGTATGACTATTTTCTGCTTTGGAAAGGTGTCTTTAAAACACTCCTAGGCACTATTTTTACTATTCAGACCCAAGACAGCAATTCCAGTTTTCTTTCTCTTACATCCATTGAAAAGTACAACTACTTATTTCCTTATCTGCCCCCCAAAAGTTCTCCCTATAGAAGAGTGCATAGGGCTTTCTCCCATCAGAAAGACATTTTGGTGTGATTAGCTGTCACTGCACTGGCATTCATGAAGGGGGATGTATGGTCAGGGTATACTTTTATTGATCGTGGTTGGGATAGATAATGAAATGTGTGTTAGGCAGCTGACCTTTTTGGATAAGGAAATGACTTATGAAGGGTAAAGAGAGGCTGTTAGTTTCATGAAGTCATTGACATGAATACATGTTCTCCCTCTTACTACCTGGACTGTGAATTTTCCAGTCCATGTTCTCGTTCTTTCTACAGAAAAAAAAAAGAACTCTCGTTGGGTGCAGTGGCTCATGTCTGTAATCCCTGCACTGTGGGAGGCTGAGGAGGGAGGATTGCTTGAGCCTAGGAGTTTGAGACCAACCTGGGCAACACAGTGAGACCCCATCTCTACAAAAAATAAGACAAGTTAGCTGGGTGTGGTGGTGTGTGCCTGTGGTCCCAGCTGCTTGGGAGGCTGAAGTGGGAGGATCACTTGAGCCTGGGAGGTCGAGGCTGCAGTAAGCCATGATCACGCCACAACAC